AAAAAAAAAAAAAGGGGGCCCGCTCCCCCCCCAAACAGAGACAACTCAAAACGGGGTAACCGAGAAAAAAAACCCCCCTCCCGTGGGGAAAACCCCCCCCCCCCCGCCAAAGTTGAACGCATGCAGCAACTAATAAAGCTGTCCTATCCGCGCCTAACTTACGTCACCTCCACCTCCCCCTCCCCCTCCACCAACCCAACCCAACCCAGCCCGCCTTGGCCCGCCATCGATGTTTAGATAATAATATACGTTAGGAAGTAAGCAAAAGTAAGGAAAAGCAACTATGCCGCCCGCGGGGATAGCGGCGGGATGGGAAGGGATGGGATGGGAGCGGATGAGATGAGATGAGAGGTGACATGATATCCAAGCGCCCGGTCCGGGGGGGATGGGATGGGAATTATATCGAAAGGGAATTGAAGTCTATGTACATACGTACAATTTACTATGCGGGATTTTTTTCGGGTTTATTTTAAGTTTTAAAAGATGGCCGGTATGTATGTATGTATGTAGATGTATAGGGTTTGAAAATTAAAGAATTGGGTAGGGTAGGGTAGGGTAGGGCAGGGTAGGGCATTTGAGCCGGTATATGGTAGTTACAGATTGTAGATGCCAGGCCAGTGGAAGAAATTTCAGTTCCCTGCCTTCTGGCAGTGGCTATTTATCTACGGAGTATGTACGGAACGGAGGCTGCGATAGATCAAGGGGAGGGGGGGGTGCAATACTCTCCGTTCATTGCCACCAATATAAGCATGCATCTATGAAGACGGGCGGAGAAATCCTTCTAGAAGCCGTGAAGAATTTTCCTCCCACCATGGCTTGCAGCAAACTGTGCTTGGCTGATGTCATACGTCATAACGACTGCAAGACCAAGCGTTCAGCTGTGATTGGGCGGATACGGGGAGAATTCAATGGAGAGCTGATTTCTGCTTTGGGAGAGCTGGCTGGAGAATGGGAGGGTTATACGGAGTAGAGAGAGAGGAGAATGGATTGGGAATAAAGCGTAAGGATAGGGTTCACCAGATGCCATTCTGCAGATAAAGGCAGTCAGTGTTAGCAGCACTATGCCTGCAGTCTGCTGTGCCAGTCGCTGTCTCTTTGATCTCTGTGATGAAAACTCTTCCTTCAGGTTACATTTTGCTTGGCCATGTGCTTGGCCATGTGTGTGTGTGTGTGTGTGAGTGTGTGTTTCTTGTCTTTTTTGCGTCTTTCCCGTTACTTACGGTAACTTACGCGGGTTGCAAAAATACACCCTGGAACGCCCGCATCATCCGGTGCGTGTGCATTGTGAGACACAGTGCGTGGCAGTCGGCTCTGCGGCATGCGGCAGCTGCGGCATCTGGCGGTGGCAGCCCCCCGTTTGGGAATAGCGGTATTTTTGCCGTCTTGTTTTCCGTTTAGGCCAACTAAGCGAGGGCGGCCGGATCGGGTTAGACGCTATAGAGTGTTAGAGTGTATTTTACCTCCTCTGAAAGTCGTGTGAGGATTGCAAGGGGTGTGTTTAGTTGTTTTGTTTATGGGGGGATGGATAAGGAACAAAAAGACAAACAAACCAAAAGACATGTCCTGTTTCACCGTCTGGGATTCCAAGTCCAAACCACTGCTGATGGCTGGAAGAACACGCCTCAATTGGCCCTTTGCGCCCCGTTGCGCTGACGACTGACGACTCCCCTCCGTGGACAACCCATCCTCCCAGCATCATCGAAGCTCCTCGGAAGATCTCGTCGCAAGCCATAGCTCCAGTGTTTGTTTGGGGTTAACCCCGGCTGATGTGATGCTCCAGCGCTGCTCTCTCGACCGGGAGTTCCTTTCCCAGCCTAGCGCTGCGCATCCTTAGCTTGTGCGAACTCACTAGAGTCGAGGAGGAGGAGCTAAATAGGGGCTTCAAGCCAGCCGTGGGCGGGCGACGGTCACGTCATGTCACCCTGGCCTACTGGGGACGGCGGATTCAAAACTCTGCCTTGCGGACGGGCGTCGGGTGGACGGGAGCTTTGTTTGTTTGTTTGGCTTTGTTTTTGCCTCTGCTCCGATTCAGTTATTGGGCATTGGGATGGATATCATATCAAATCGCATTCTGCTCGACTCTTCATTAGATGCTACGCTGATTGATTGATTGATTGATTGATTGATTGATTGATCCTAATTGGCCCCCATCTTTCTCCCGCCTTCCATCCACCGCCATACTAACCAAAATTAAACAGCAACAACACCCCCCTTACCCCGCCCCCATCGTCATCCAGCCTAGGACAGACAGCTCCCACCTGTCCGTCCCTCCCTACCCCACGATTCACGGGTGCTGCAGGAGAGACGAGACGAATTGCACCGCAAGGACCGTCGATTCGTCGAGCAGGATACTTGCTTGGCTGTGGAGTTCAGCTTCCTGACTGGCTCCTCGGCCAACTTTCCGCTTCGAACCAGCTCCAGCCCTTGCCAGTTCGGGCTTGGAGCTTTTCTCTCGTGTTTCTTGGGGCGGGGGAATTGATCTAGGGAAATATCGGGGAATTGCCGGCACGACACTACCATGCATACTGACAGTCCGGCGGGCGGCAATCCGACGGCAAGAGCAAGAGCAATCCCAATCCCAATTCCAATCCCTATCAATACGACCACAAGAACAGTTTCGAGCAGTTCGCAATGGCGGTGAAGCTTGTGCTAAGTTAACTACGGAGTTTAGTTTTCAGTCAGCCAGCTGCATGCGGTTAGCTGCATCGCGGCGATATATTAGATAATAGGAACGAACAGCTAACGCTGATACCGAGCTAGTTCGTCATGTCACGGAATCGAGGAAAAGCTTGGTGGCGGCAACTACAGCGAAACTGCCGTAGTTCGCAATTGCAAGTGCATCTACCAATTGTTGACGTTGCAGGGGATGGGATATCTCCGTGGAGGGTGGAGGGTGACGGTGAGTGGCGGACACTTATCATCATCATCATCATCATCATCATCATCATCATCAATGGATCAGCGATCGAAATAAAAATAATTTATTTACTGGGGGAGGATGGAGGATTTCTCGCGTTGTCAGAAATACCTCACCCGGCCCGTTCCTAGATCTCTGATGCATCTGTCAACTCCGGGATATCATATCGATTGGGGCACAATTGCGAAAGTATGAGCCCTTCCTCGGATCCCCCTACTTACTGATGCATGAGCGCGGTGACATTTCTCTTCCCTTCTCTGATTTCTTAACTGGCAAATGCAATGAAAAGATCCGTGCGCCGCTTCCTTACGGAGTGCTCGCTCTCAAACCGCCACCACCTGGTCCTGCAGGCAGCTTAGCTAACCCATACTACATACATCCATACCCGGATCTTACTGCTTAGTTACCACAAATATCTATTCTAGTCCAGCTAGCTACCCAGGCCAGTCAGTCCCAGTTGTCACGTTCATTTGGCGCGGGAGGAACATCTATCCTTAGCTAAACATCTATGAGTTCGTCCAGTTAATGTAGTTATCCATGCGCAAAACACCCATGGATCAAACCATCAATGCATTGCTGCATTGCTGTATTGCGGCTTTGCGCCTTGACCTGCGCTTTGACGTCCAAACAAACCATGCGGGATGCGGTGTGATGTGATGTGATGTGACCTGATGGGATGGGATGGGATGGGGAAAAGCTTGATTTTCTTTTCTCCTTTTCGCTTCATTCCTCCTACTCCGCGCGGGTTTTCTTTTCGTTTCCTTTCTTTGCTATTTGCTGGCTTCCTCATTCGTAGACCGGTGTGAGTTATTTTATTTAAATGACGCAACTCTCGCTCGCGTGCATAATGGATGGATAGAGAGATAACTAGATAGACAACAAACTACTCCGTAGACAGCCAGACCGGGTGGTATGGATGGTAGCACAACATGCCGCGTGAG